ATATGTCATGAAAAAAGAAGTAGGCACCAATTAACATGGTATATATGTGGACTTATATAAGATAAAAGTTTGGTGACATGGTGTGTTGAATGAGTTAGGGTATCATACGTGCCATTGGGGGGAATGTACTTTAATTTATCTCTTTCTTTGAGGGCATATACTTGAACACTAAGGCAATTAGATTCAAGAATATTTTGTGGGGCACACCGCACACATGTATTTTAGTTCATTTTTTTTTTTTTTAATGATATGCTCAGATGATATATAAATTATTTTTAGATGAAAAAATGAGTGAGCGAACAAATTATAACTAGGCTAAAACTTTATGGATACTACCGTCTCGACGAAGAATCCAACGGTACGTCATCCACTTAGACCGAAAAGGAAACGGCAAACTTTATTCTACCACTCATGATTATAGTACCTCATTCGATAACTTTTTTTAATTAATGTATTAAATTTGATGTCTGAAAAAGATGAACCTTTGCACTAAAAATGAAATCATGCCGTTAGATATGCATACTTTTTTAGTATGTGTTTGATGGAGGTAGTTTTGTTAGATGATTGATTATGGTAAGAAATGACTTTGAAGTGAAGCAGCCATGGGACCCCGGCTGGTGAGAAGTTGTTGGCTGTGCGCTAATAGGTGGTGGTGCATTACATAACACAACTCGTCATTCGTGTCTTTAAAGAAATTAGATTAGATATATTGATGGAAGGAGTAATGTACGTGTTCTTGATCATTTGGTAGTGAAACTAATATGCTTTGTATTTTTATATAGAGTGACTCTATTATTAAATTTTTAACAATATATCTTTGTTAATAAAAAAGAATACTTGATTTAAAAATATATTTATCCGATGTGTAGAACAAACTCAATTTGGTCCAATGTTGGTTGAATCTTCCTTGAACCATTATATATTACCTGCAAACAGTGACGGATCAAGGAATTTTATCGAGGGGAGTTCAAATAATAATAACAAAAAAAAAAAACATTAACTGAAAATAAATAAATCAGTACAAGTACCGACTAAATAAACATAAGAAATATATTCGAGTATTCAAAAAAATAACTTACGATAACAGTGAGACGTCACAACGTTTCTCTTCTATTTTTCGTGTTTTGAAATTGTTGCATGATAGTTTCGTTACTAATGTTCCGAAATATATATCTCTCGATGTATGACACTAGAAAATCATTTAAAAGCTCATCACCCATTCGGTTACGTAGTATACTTTTTATGATTTTTATTACCGAAAAAGTTTTTTCCACTATAGCAGCGACAACTGGTAAAATCAACAACTTAATCAACAAGTAAGCCAATAGAAAAACAACATTTTTTTTTCTAGACACCATCTTTTGAGCAAGATCTCCAATTAATAATGGCTACATTCGAGAAGTTATCATCCAAGCGCATATAAAAAATGAAATTCGAGCAAGAACTCCAACAATGGTTTTTTTATCGGTTTCTCAAGTCTCAAGTGTTTTATTTTTTATTTTCTGGGCATACTCTTCAAGCCTCCACCTGATTTTACCAAGTATTTTATTTTTTTCATTTTCTTTTATTATTGCAAATTTATTGAAATGCCCCTAATTATTTTTTCAGGGGGGCCCCGTGTGCCCCGGGCCAGCTACAGCTCTGCCTCTACCTGCAAAACAACATCGGGGGTGTTTAGTACATAGTAATTAACACCTTAGAATGTACCAATAAAAGAAATAAAATGATCATATATTACCCCCTTATATAGAGTCATTACCCTGTTGCTCAAGATATGGCCGATCTTGCTGCCGAATTACCCTTGTTGCTCACAATCTGGCTGACTGTCATAGTATCCTTGTTGCCTAAAATCTGTGATGAAGATCGTGTATCGTGGATTTGTGTTTGTAGAAATCTGCACTATCGGTCTTGGTTAACACAAGAGTTTTTGTGCTCGAAAAAGCATTTTTTTTTATTTCTTATTGCTTAACGAAATAAAAAATAATTACATATGTTATTTAATTAAGAGAAATACTAATCCTAAGAATAGTACATATCTATGGTCCTAGGAATTGCCAAAATAATCAAATGCTTATGCTAATTAAGAATAGAATCTATACTAATATAAAAATCATTTTTAGTAACTTTTGATCAAATAAATAAATCAATTGACTTTCTATATATAGACAATTTAATACAACCATAAAGAAACCGAAATACATGCTTTTCAATTTAATAAATCTGATTTTTTGATTAGTTTATTATTTGAACATTTTAAATAAATTAATATACATGAATTGTATTACATCGGTTCCATACTTTAATTTACAAATATTATTTAACGAACATTTCTAATTTTACAAATATTGATGAATATCTCTTGCTTGTGCATCACATGGATTTGTATATTGATGAATATCTCTTACTCGTGCATCGCACGAGATTTTTACTAGTTATAGTAATAACTAAGTTAAAAAATTCGGCTAGCTTGCTCCTCAAGACTCGTTGACCAGGTTGTGCCTCAATCCTCGCGCAAGGTTCTTCGGCCGCTCCACGACGGTCCAGCTGCCTCGCATGTTCCATCCATAGTCGTGCGTGCTCTTTGGTCTGCCTCGTTGACGGTCGCACTGTCCCCTCGCCAATCGCTTGTCGTGCGGTCTGCTGTACGGCGCTACCTGTCCCTGCCGCGCGAGCCTCAGTGTAGTCTATTGCTACCGCTCGTGTCTCGGCTACTGCACGGGCCTCTTTAATGCACGCATGTCGTGCCTGGTTGTGCACGTTCTTTAGCATCCGACCTTTATTGTCGGAAATTGAATATGCATATTATGCATATTTTCCCACGTCGCCTCTTGTTCTGGCATATCGTTCCATTTAACCAAAACTTCTGTCGAACTATGAAAGTAATGCACGATCGTGCTTCATAATTGATTGTTGTCTGGCGAGCCGCTGTCGGTCGTGATCTCCGCGCCCATTCTCCGCCGCAATGCCACCGTCTGGCCAGCCCGACGCGCGACTCCCGACAACGAACTGTCGAGACGCCTGGGCTGCCGTTGTGGCTCGCGTGCATCATCTCGGGCCCAGTTCGATTGGTTTTTCGAGGTTCTTTTTTTTTCGTGATCTCCCGGTCATCAATCCACGATCACAACACGAAAAATATTATTTACAAAATTGCATAATCTGATCCTAGATCCAATGAATGGATGTACATGTTCTCTAAACAAATAATTAAATCTATCCGGTCAACCCCCGTGCAAATAATTATTACAAACATTCATCCATCAATTCATCGACATGGCCGAGGCTGTAAAAACAAACTTAAAACCATACATCACATTCAACAACATTCATCAAATACATTGTCGGCCATAATAGTGGATTAAACTAGTTTCTACAAAACCGAGTTATGCGAACATAATCCAATATATATGGCTGTGTTTGAACACATCTTGTCAAATAAAGTCGTAAAATCGAACTTTGTACAAAACGAATTAACCAAGTGCTCTGATACCACTTGTTGGGACCTATGAGGATCTCGTTATGTACAAGTAACAAATTCAATAGCAAACGCAAACCTATGCGCATCGGATCCAAAAGTTTGACGTAGAAAACTAACAGCTTAAATTTTTTTTTTGAATCTGGCAGATTCGGATTGATCGAGAATAGCACACGAAGAAGCCATGCACACGAGCGGGATCATGTCGGTGCGGCAATCGAGTCGTGTGAGTGGGGTCGAGTCTCCAGGCGCGTCACGGGGGGTCACCGGCGGGGCTTGCGGCGGTCCTCGACTGGCGTCACGGCGATCGTCCGGCTGCTCGGGGTTGGTGGTCGCGACCTTCGCGTCATGGTACATCGGCTCTGGGGTTGATCACGATGTCTCAGTTACCTTCGAGATCCTTTACTGTGTTACTCTTACACCTCTTCTATTTGTATCGTTGAAGCAACAAAAAGAAGATAAAGTCGAACAGAAACTTGAGAGAGAGGGAGAGGCGCGTGTGATGATATACAAAAGTAGGAGAATTCTGATCTCTTCTTTTTTTTATGAGTTTAATGATGTATATATAGAGCTACAATAGGGACCCTTCAGAGATTAGTAATATGGCTTCTTAATTAATGGACTAATTGTGGACCTGACCCATTCCTCCAATTGATTAAATAATATATGGGGCACTAACATAATATTATTGCACTCCTTTTTCCTAGCCCAAATTACAATTGAGACTCCAATAATAATTACCTGAATTACATCTCCATGTTTAAGATATATATTGTCCATTAATTAATTCAGTTACTGATAATCAATAATTAATTAATATATTATTATTCCACCGAAACTATCTCGTTCATCACATTATTACTATGCCAGAAATTAATCCACTTACATTGGAGAAAATTGCAATTGTAGTCCAGTAACTTAGATTGTTTCCCATTTTAGTCCACTAACTTAGGCCGATCCAAATTTGGTCCAAAAACTCCCAAAAGTTAGTTAAATCAGTCCAAGACTAAAATTGGACTAAAA